CCCCCCCCCTCCACCTCCGGCAAATAAAACATCTACAAAATCAGTCAGTCGAACGATAAAAATCAATTGTTCGATCCAGGGGAAAAACCCATCGACCGATGCAAAATCAATCAATCGATTTCTGAAAAATTAGTGGAAAAAAGAAGTAACAAACATTGAAATCAACATCCGGTGGTGGTGGCATGAACATGCCATTGACGGCCGAGTTGTTCATGGTTGGTGGAGCAGGTGCTGCACCCCAAACATTTTGCAGTCGACTTCGCTGTGGTGGCGGGGGTGGCATGCCGGATGGTGGTGGAATCGGTGGTTGCATCGAATCGTTCATCGGACGTGCTACCCAGTTTCCCATGACGGCACTGTTCTCGAACGGTGGATTGCCGAAACGAGCCGGTGGCGGGAAAACATTGCCACGTGGTGCTGCTACATTTTGTTGCCAACCTAAAACAACAACCGCTACAAATTCGGTCCTGATAAACACAGGGTATACGCATACTTTTTTTTTCTATTAAGCATTGCGACCGTCATATTGACGAGGTCCTGTTGCGGTGTTCAGTAATGAAGTCTATATGAATTAGCGGACCGAAACGTCTTATCTCACTCTTGCCTTCTTTTCTCATATTATTCTCTCTTTCTGCACTCTATTGTCGTACCTTTGTCACTTGGGCTTCGAAGCTTAGGGATGAAACACAGACAGCCAAGTTCACATTTAGCTTTCCTACAGGTCCTCCTCACATCTTAACTTTTTACAAAAAACATATGCGTTTCACTATCTATTTCATTTCCTTATTTCGTGGTCTTATGACCATTCATTCCAAGGGTCAACCTGGATGCTACAGTCAGCTTAAAAATCCGTATAATTCCCCGTTCGTAGAAACCCCAAACCCGTAAGCCCCCAGTTTTCGATCTAAGGCTGTTAACACTCAATATACGCCAACAACACCTCGAACAGGTTAAAATCCCGCCCAGTGCTCTTGTTAGGAGGATCGTTAAGCTCGCAAGCCCTAAACGAACACCAATTTTATATCACGCGAGGGACTGTGAGTCTCAAGACGGGACATTTGCATAACACATGGGAGCGCAAGGTAGCTACGGCAAAACGAAAACAAAATGCCAACTTTATTTCTTGCTCAGGTCTGCTCCTTATTCCTTTTGCAACAAAACAACTGGAAGTGCTTATGTGTGGGCGGTCATCCAATTAATTCTAATTAAAAACTCTGCTAATTTCCTTCAAAACTACCTACTTAGAAAAATTTCCGTCCAACATCTGCTTATTTGAAAAAAACTTGGCAAAGCTGCACTTTCTCGTTAGATGAGCAAATTTGCATTTTTACAATTACAGAAAAAAAAACTCAATCTCAAAAAGGAGCATATTTAGCAAACAAACTTACTAGACCAGCAGCAGAATGGACAAAAAGCAAACCATTAGCAGCGGCTGCAGCAGCAGCAGCATAAGCGGCAGCAGCGGCTGCAGCAGTTGGTGGCGGTGGACCGGTGTGAAATGCCGGTGGACGTTGAGCGCTACTCCAGACCTGTTGTTGCTGCTGCTGCTGTTGATCATCGTTTGGCCATAGCTTATTCTGGCTTAGGCCACCACAAAATGCTGTAGTGGCAGTGCGATTCGTTTGTGTCTGACCCGTCATGGCTCCCCAAACCCGTTGTTGCTCTGAAAAATTCTTGGATGCTGCGCTGTAATAAAATCCTGAAAAAAACAAAAGAAATCTTGGAAAAAATGCCTCGAAACGATGACGGAGCGGTAAAAAAAAAAGGCCTTTAAAACAAATCACCATCAACTGAGGGATAATCCTGAGACCAATTGAGGGAG